TTTCTTCAGCTCTTTCTTTGCTCCTTCAGTCCACTTGTTCTCACCACACTCCCTCTGAACACAAGGACTTTGCACATGCTGTTCCCTCTGCCCACAACACTGTTCCCTCATGCAATGCCCAGCCCCTTTGCCTGACCCACCCCAATACCCTACCAGGGTCTTGTTACAGCCTCCCACAGCATAGGTCCCTTGCCTGCCTAACCCCATCGTGTCTGCAATGACATCTCAGGGGGTAATGTGATTAACGTCCACGTGCCCTGGGCTGGGCACCACACACGGGACAGAGCATGGGGTGGTGGCCAGCATGAGGCCCCGAGGAAGGTGGATTCCACTGAATATAGCTCGACCTCCTCCCCTGTCTCTGACACGCTGTTCCCTGTGCTGAGAACACTCTTCCCTTACCAGACGGGGCCAGGTCCTCCCTCTGGGATCCCCCAGCCCCACCTGCTCTGAGTCCTCACTGTCTGCAGACAGACCCGTCTCCCTCCCTGGACTGGGAGCCCCCACAGGGCAAAGCCAGGATAACCATGGTCCCCAGCACCACCCAGTACAAGGCAGGCACAGAGGAGGGGCTCAGAATAAACACATGGCAGATGAGGGACAGCTGTCCTCCCAACGGTGCCAAACATGGGACCCTCGAAGTGCATGATGGGACATGCCCCACCCTGCCTCAGCACCCCCCAGCCCTCCAAGACTCACTGCTCCCGCAGGTGCCAGATCTCGGTCTCCCGGGTGTCCTGAGCAGCCTGGCCATCCAGCCCTCGCAGGCGGCCCAGCTCCTCCTTCAGCGAGCGGATGATGCCCTGCAGGACCACGGGGTCGGGCTTGCCCTGGTACGGGAGGGGCAGCGGGTAGTGAATCCTGGGGAGGAGGGATTAGAACCGCGGCATCTCAGAGGCCAAGAATCCACCCGAGGGCAACTACCAGACTCTGAGAGCCACAGAGTAAAAAATACAGACAATTCCAAAAACCTCGCCTTCTAAGGTTTACGCTCTGAACAGAGCTACAAACCTCTCCCTGCCCCAGGCCCCTTGCACCAGTCACCACCTCTAAGAGCCTCTTATATAGCAATTTTGGGATCACCGGGATTGACAGCCCTGGTGCAGTCTGAATTCACTTCCTTGTCACACTGCTGGCAAGGGGACACTGGTACCATGTTACTTGCAACTAAACATAATCCTAATTCAGATTCCACAGTGGGAGATTCTGGTTGGCCTGACCCAGGTCACCCCTTGGATCGGTAACTTCCCACTAGAAAATCCAGAAGCTATTAACAAATGGGGCAGACGCTGTCGTCCAGCTACCTAAGAGCCATTCCCAACTCCCTTGCTGCCTCACACGATAAAGGCTGGAAGACTAGATATTCGTTTTCCCAGCAACCCTTGCATGGGACTGCTTCTGGCCATATATTATGGGAAATCTGTTGAGAGTCTTCTGGGAACACTTTTGTTTTCCTGATAAAAACAGCAGATGCAATTAGCAAACACAGCTCTGTCCCTTTCCTTCCTGCCTTGATACAGATGCAATGCTTGGAGGCCCAGCAGCTATTTTGTGACCATGAAGAGATAACGAAGAAGTCAAAAAGCCAACACGTTAAAGATGATAAAGGAAAAAAAACCAAAAACAGACAGAGCCTGAGTCCCTAATGGAATTGCTGAGTAGCAGCCACCTACCTAGACATCTTCTTATGTGATAAACTATTATTTCCCTAAGGCACCAGTAATGGTTGTTCTGCCACTTGTAGCCAAATACAACACTAAATGATACAAATCCCAACACAAAAGATCCCAAAAGCAAGGCTTAACCAACACCCCCCAACCTTGCCCTGGGTGCCAGGGATTCCTCAGGTCTAGCCACATCCTCTCCCACCCTGCCCACCAGCCAGGGCCTGGAGCCAGCCCCTTTTCCCCACCTGTCAAATTCCACGGAGTAGATGAGGATCAGGTAGCGCTTGGAGTTGAGCTGAGCCGACCTGGGGCCCAAGGAGCCCGGGCGGCCCCCCATCTTGCGGTTTCGCAGGGACTCCAGGTCTGTGTAGGTCAGCAGGTCAAGGGTGACTGACTCACTGCTCTGTTGGGAGAGGAGGGGAGGAGGTGCCACAGGACCCAACATGGCCACACCCCTTCCCGTTCTCTGGGCTGGCTGGGCTTTCCTCCA